CATGTATTAGTTACCTGTTGCTGCATAACAAATGATCCCAAAACTTAAGAGCTTAAAATAATAAACCTTTATGAGCTCATAGCTTCTGCAGGTCAGGAGTCTGGCATGGTTTAGCTAGGTACCTCTGGCTCATGGTCTCCCAAGTGTAGTGGTCAAGCTGTTGGCCTGGGCTGCAGCTCCATCTGAAGGCTCGAATGGGGGAAGATCTGCTGCTAAGTTCACTCACATGGTTATTGGCAGGATTCAGTTCCTCATGGCTGTTTGTATAAAGGCTTCATTCAGTTCATTCAGTGCCTGTTGGCTGCCAAGGGGGTCTGTGCATAGAGCAGCTTACAACATAGCAGATGACTTCCCTCAGAGCGAGCAAACGAGAGAGCAAGAGAGGGCATTCAAGATGGAAGCAATGGTCTTTTGTAAGTTAAGCCTGGACATGATATTCCATCACTTTTGCTGAATTCTGTTCATCAGAAGTGAGTCACCAGGTTGGCCTACACCCAAGGGGTGGGCACGACCCAGGGCATTATGAACAGCAGGGGGTGGGATCACTGGGGCCATCTCAGAGGCTGCCTGTGACAGGGGTGACTCCCTCACTGTAGAGGAGGGACTCCAGAGTGGAGGAGGGGCCCAGCTCATTCTGGAAGGCTGGAAGGGACGTAAATCGGCAGAGAAGATGAGGCCCTCCAGACTGGGTGAGCCAAGACACCTACGTGGGAACGGACAAGGAGTATTTGGAGGACAGTGAGTGGGCATGTTAACATGGAGGTTGTGGAAGATAAGAATAGAAAGGAGAGAACACTGCAGGGGGCTGGGAGGTAGGATAAGAATCTTGGACTCTGCCCTTGTCAGTAGGGATCTCCAAAGGGTTTTCAACCAAGTATTACTCAGATGACAAGTGTCTTCAGAAGACTAGCCTAGTGACTAGTGAATATTGAAGAAAACTGACTATACCATGGACTACCAGAAGAACGAACAAATCTGTTTTGGAAGAAGTATAGGCAGAATGCCCATTAGAAGCAGTATACATATTTTGGATACGTTATCAG